ATTATTTACTTTTCATTTTTCAATTTTCAAAGGAAATCACATGTCAAATTATGTAAAAGTTTATAATTGTGTACCAACTAAATTTATGTTTTGGTTTTTTTAATTATTTTTAAGAAATTATAAACAATTATGAAACGTAGTATAAACTAACAATAATTTATTTGTAGATGTTAATGATTTTCTTATCAATGCAAAAAAATAGAATACACAATTGTAACGGTGATAGCTATTCTATTGGTTAAAAAATAGTTGTGATTAATTGCATGAACGATATTTTAATCTATTGGTTAAAAAATTGAAATGATTACAGTTTGAGCTTCTAGGTTGCATAATTAAATCTTAGTTATGCTGATTGATATACATGTTTCATTGTGGTAAATAGCATCAAATATACTTTATCCAGGTGGTTGAACATTTGAAATGATGATAGTTTGATCTCGTAGGTCGTAGGTTCAAATACTCGTGATGATGATTGATATGCATGTTTATTTAGTTTTATTTTAATGTAACTAATAACTTAATATGTTAAAATGATAAAATGACATGGAAAATTGTGGAGCTTCCGTTGTCCTATGTGGCAAAAACTTGCTCCACAACGTCCATAATATAAATTAAGATAAGATTAAGATAAGATTGTACATGGTTTAAACTCGTGGACGCCACCTTACTGTACTCCTATAGAATTGGTATATAGACCATGAATTAACCGAGTTTGACACATGATGTTATACCATATTCTCTAATAGGTACACAGTCTTTAATTCTTTAATCCAAATCGTACGATTTATTTAATAAAAAATAATAATCACTGATTCTTATTTGTCAAAATATATTAACATACAACTAATAGGCATGAATGAAGGTGCATATTACACCTTGAGTGTACGCTAGCCTTTTCCACCATTACATCAAAGTACAACCAAACTATTCTGCTATGCTTCTTACCTTCAACATTGTAGGAATGATATCAAAGCAAATGTTAGTTATGGAGACACTTTGTCTTCACTTCACATTATCCTCCAATATTTAATATGTGACCGACTGTAACTCGAATTGCGTGATAACTTAATACAAACATAAAAGCGCTCTGTTGTGCAGTCAGTATAGTAACTGAATTTATAGGACATCCTTATGATATGATCCTGCGTTGATTTTACAGGACACTGGTCCGGGTACGTCCCACCCTGGTAGCTGGTATACATGACATCGGTTAGGGTATGATCCGCAATGGATTTATAGGACACCAGTCTAGGTACGATCTGTGGTGGTATGCATGTCATCTACTATACTACCCGAGGAGTGTATGACTTGGCAAATTAAGATGTAAAATGCAATGAACCTAACCATGCATGTGATTAAATCATTGTATAAATATTACTTCTGATGTGGTTAAGTGATGAATTTCTATGATGTGATATATGAAATGTGCATGTCGATGATGATGGTTTTCTATGGTGTTTTATACTATGATTTAAGATTGGATGATATGATGTTTTGCTATGTTGGGACAAAGGTAACATGGCAATGCCAGTATGATGTGATATTTGATGCATACATGTTTAAACAATGAGTTATCAAAAGATCGGGTGATGGTCCTTATGTTGTGATGTATGAATTCTTTGAGTTTGAGATGATTAATGTGATATGGCATGTGGTGATGAATGGATGTTTATTTGACTGAATAAGATATAGCATATCAGATGTATCTTGATAGTTAAGTTAAGCCAGTAAGATCTGAGAGGTGGGTGACGGGAAAATGAATACTCCATGTTTTGCCATGGTCAATGGGAGGGACAATAAGTCATTTTGAACTATACTCCTAAAGGTAACGGAGAAAATATAGATCATTATCTTATGAGTAAGGTTATCCGGCAAGTATAACTGGTTACTAAAAATAGTAATAGTAATATATGTATGAGGGTGTCACAGCAAGTATGGATTAAAATAGTTATTTACATATCAACCATCATATATCAAATAGCTTAAGATTCGTTTACAAATCTTGCTTGACTTAGGTGTCATTCATCTAAATATGACTCAAAGTTGCACATCTACACTCATGTAGGGAAAAGAAATAAACTTATGTCAAACAATAAAAAGAGAAAAAAAAGCAATTATAATTACATTAGGAAAAAAGTAATGACAATATGTTTTATAATTGTGCATGGAAGAATATTTAATGACGTACGGAAAATGAAAAGAGAAAGAAGTTGGAATAACATAAAAAAGACAATGATATCATTTTAATATGTGAGAAATGCCAAATTCAATCCTAAAAATGACAAATGCATTATGTATATGTACATTACTTTATTTATAACTTCTTTCACCAATTGGTCACAAACATATTTAAACCATATAACCATAATTCGGTTTTGAAAAATATACAAAAAATTTGGTGACCATTGGTGTCTAGTGATATTCTTAAACACATGAAATTTTGTGTATATATAACTGTAGCATATGACTGAACTATGTTGATATATTTCAGATATTTATAGTAAGTATTTTCTAACAAATTGCAACATAACTACATTGGTTCACATATTTATAGTAGTTCGTACAAACAAAATGTTAAATTCTCTGTGTTCTAGAATGCAGAAGAAGATTAATCTTTACTTTTCATTTTTCAATTTTCAAAGGAAATCACATGTCAAATTATGTAAAATTTTATAATTGTGTACCAACTAAATTTATGTTTTGGTTTTTTTAATTATTTTTAAGAAATTATAAACAATTATGAAACATAGTATAAACTAACAATAATTTATTTATAGATGTTAATGATTTTCTTATCAATACTAAAAAATAGAATACACAATTGTAACGGTGATAGCTATTCTATTGGTTAAAAAATAGTTGTGATTAATTGCATGAACGATATTTTAATCTATTGGTTAAAAAATTGAAATGATTACAGTTTGAGCTTCTAGGTTGCATGATTAAATCTTAGTTATGCTTATTGATATACATGTTTCGTTGTGGTAAATAGCATCAAATATACTTTATCCTGGTGGTTGAAAATTTGAAATGATGATAGTTTGATCTCGTAGGTTGTAGGTTCAAATCCGCGTGATGATGATTGATATGCATGTTTATTTAGTTTTATTTTAATGTAACTAATAACTTAATATGTTAAAAATGATAAAATGACATGGAAAATTGTGGAGCTTCCGTTGTCCTATGTGGCAAAAATTTGCTGCGCAACGGCCATAATATAAGTTAAGATAAGATTAAGTATCAACTATTGCAAATTAGAGTTGGGTACCTAAATTTAATAGATCTTTAGATTTATAACCTAAATTTTTTTGGCATATAAGTCCTCAAAATATTTATGGAACATTACATTGTAGTACCTAAATTTTTTGTGTATTACATCTTAGTACCTGAACTTTTGAAGTTCTACAAATAGGTCTAATTTTTTATGTGTAATTAAAACACACTCCAATAAACGGATATCCATACCAACTCATACACATTTAGATTATGAAAGTAAATATCCATACCCGACCCAAACCCATCTACAAACTTTCAAACCCATATATACGTCACTCATACCCTACCCATAATCAATGAGTCTACTTGGGTTTAGGTAAATATTATTTATTAGCCAAAATTGTCAATTTTTTTAATTTGGATGATGACCACCATAAATCTACTCTCATTCAATATCATAATTTTAAGTCAATATTACTAACAAAACTGCTAACAAAAAATCAAATTTACACTAAAAATACTAACAAAACAACATAACGGGCCACATAATACATGCCCATAACCCATCTCCCCCGCGACAAGTCGCGGCACCGCCACTGGTATATATATAAACATAAAACATAATTACTATTCATTAACATTTACATGTGCCCATTACCATACTAGCATTGGGCCCGGCCCGTTGGCCGGGTTTGTTTGTAAAAATTGAAAAACCCAATGAAATCTAATAAGTATAATCTGCCACTAAAATTCATGTGATCCAACATCCTGATCAAACAAATTCAATGTCAACATGAAAAGCCAAACACATACATAGTAGTGTACAGTCTGATAAAAACAACCTTTTCAAAGAGGAGTAGGCTCAACTATTGTTCCAACATGAGCCTTTAAGGGTGGTTTTGAAGGAAAAAAAAAGGCAGTAAGACAGAATTTCATAAAACCGGAATATGCTAACCAATGTAAAAGCCACCATTACTGCAAATTGTCTTTGAAAGACTATGCTTATGGTTCAACTACAATTAGAATAACAATTCAACTCTACAAAGAGCTAGCAAGGGTGGAGTAAACTCATTTAATTAAGAAGGCAGAATAATGCAGCAGAGAAAATGAATAAAAAAATGGACATCAAACACCATCTGAAATCTGAAAATGCAGCAAACCATATGCAAAAAACATAATAATGCAGCAAACATAATCAATCTCAAAATGGACAACAAACACAATCAGATTATGAGAAAAAATGCAGCAAACACAATCACAAATCAGAGTACTGCAGCAAACAGAATCAATGACAAAATGGACAGCAAACATAATCTGAAAATCAGGAAAATACAGCAAACATAATCAACAAAAAGAAATAACAGTAAAGAAAAGCAATCAGAACTCTTAACAATGCAGCAAATTTTGACAGCAAGAACTCACGAATGACACAAACAACCTGTTTATCTTACAAAAGGAGTAATCCCTGACAATAGCTTAAACTCACTGAACTAAGGTTCAGCTGGCATTGGCAGGTATGATGCAAAGTTGATTCAACAAAAAATAGAATCCATAGACATAAAACTGACCAACGCATAGAAAAGCATTGAAGGCAAAGAACCATAATATTGTTTGGAATTCATACTAAACATAAGAGGATAATTCATATGAGAAAGAATCTATAACCTGAGTTTCAACAGAGATCTCAATCAAAAACTAAAACTGAACATCCCATAGACGAAACAATAATACTAATCAGAATGCATAATATGGTGGAAATTAGGTGGAGAAAGTCTGCAACACCACTACTTCTCATCGTCAGCCTCACAATCAAGAGCAGGTTCCATTTTCTGTCCAACTGATGTTGATCCTCCAAGATCCTTTGAACACAGATCCTTGTTTAGTTGCTGCAAATTACGTGGTAGAAAAAAGAAGGCAGGTTAAAGCTGTAAACATAACTTGGTAGGCTGTAAGATAAAACAAACTTATGTGGACCTGCAAGTTCATTTACCTTAAGAGGATCATGATCAATGCTCACTACAGATATCTCAGTTTGTGGGTTCATGATGTTAAACTCAGTTAGTTTAACAGTTAGCTTCAGTGTCATGTTCACGATCTGATGAATCTGGGGCGGAAGAGGTTCTTTGTTCCTCTGGTTTAATTGGAATAACTCATCAGCCATTACTCCAAAAAAGCGCAGCCCTTCATGCTCCAAGATGGCAAAATCAGCCTCTCCAGTATCATCTTCCAGCTGGAATTTAACTCTATACCTACAGTGATCATGGAAAAAAGATAAACAAAATCATACACTCTCATACCTCATTATAATTGTGGTGTAACATATTACTTTGATATCAAACTCAGACAACCAAACATCTAGAATGTAGAATGTAGAAAGCAAGAAAATAGTTGATCATCTTACTTTGCTTTAGCAATGGAAGATGTTGTCTTGCAGTGGCCACAAAAATACTCCTCCAGATCCTCCTCCACCTTCCGCGGGCATGCAACACATCCCATGTAACACCAATTAGGACGAACTTGAGTCACCTTTCCTTCAACCGAAAATAGCTTGTCTTGAAATGCATTCAAAACAGAAACCAAAACTTGGTGTTATGTAAAAAAAGAAGGTGCTGAAATGAAAACATTTCTATAGAAAAAAGGAGCATACACTATGTGCTTTATTGCTTTTGAACTCATTTAGTTGAGCTAGCGAAATTTTTGTAATTTCAGCAGCTGGGACTTCAGCAAGCAGCACTGGTGCTGTTAGATTTGAGTCCCTAGAAACAAATGAAAATGCAGATCCATAAATTGTTTTAGGAAGCAAATGTCTAGATCCTAGATTCACGCAAGTAACTAACTACAAATAGAAGGAATCCACAAAAGCAGAAGTAAAAACAATAACTTATTGTAGGAAGCAGATGTCAAGACCCTAGATTCATGCAAGTAAATAACTACAAATAGAAGGATTCCACAAAAACAGAAGTAAAAACAACAGAAAGTTCATTCTTCCATTTTCTCAATGACTGGACTTAATGGGAAGCCAAAGTAAACTTCAGATAAAAGCACTTAAGTACAGCAGACCACACATACTTTGCCTTAAACTCAAGGACTTCTGGAATATCCAAGTTGGCCTTCAACTGAGTTGCTCCGGTTGATGACAAACAGATTTCCCCTTGTAGGAAAAAAAAAACAAATAAGACAGTTAGAACAATTTCAGAATTGCAATTCAAAAGGAACTAAATAAGCTTGTCTGTTCAGAACCTTTAAATTCATCAACAAACACAGAGGTAATGATCAGAATGACAGCTTTCTTTTCATTGCGCGAGATGATGTCGTCTAATTGCTTGCCAATACTTCCCCACAAAGTGACTTTCACCATCTCCCCTCTAACATCAATATTTTAAGGATCAAAGCAAAGAAACAAAGGCATAAATCAGGATAACAATCCAAAATGAATTTAAATTGCAAAGAGGCTTTTAGATCTAACTCAATGAGTTTTATTGTGATCTCCTTCCAGCGTTTTGTAGCAGAGGTCCTAGAGGTCAGACTGGAATGGTCAATCAATTGACCAATTGCATCTGAAACAAAATGTTGCTGTTAATATCAAACTGCACAGGAATTGGCAATGAAGAACAACAGAAGGAACATTCTACCTGAAAGGTTCTTCTTATCATACAGCCTTTTCATCATAGCAGCATGATTGAGAAAGTAGAACTTATTAGTAAGTATGGGCGACACTGTTTTGATATACTGGACTAAAGTGGCAGCATCAAACTCAATCATCAGACGATTAGCAACAGGCCTAAATGTGTTCTTCGTCATAGCAACCTTGAAATGCCTAATCTCATAGACTTCTTGTTCTATCAAACTGGATTCAAATTTTGGAATCAATAGTGGAGGAACCATTGCCCAAATGTCTGATCCCTAATATGTAAACAAATAAAAGTAAGTCCAAGCATTAATAACATAGAGGATTATCTTTGTAAGAAAAGTTAGAAGATTACCTCGGAATCGTTGAGCACCATGTCCAAATGCAGAACTTTTCCTGTGTTGCAATTAGTTGCGAGCCACTTCCGAGAGACACGGCATTGAATGATCCATTTTCGAGAATGAGTTGCTAAATCCTTCAACAGCTGTGGCGCCATCCTGCTTTGCTAACTGATAAGGGTGTAAGTGCGAAAACATTTTGCCGATGTAGCATGACAGTATTTATAGGCTTCGGCAAGGTAACCGCAAGAGCCAGGTAAGTCCGCACATCAAGGTTGACCTGGTGGCAGTTAAGCAGATCGTGTTAATTTGGAATAAGAAGGTAACCGTCCTCCACCAGGTTAGAAGAGATTGAGCAACGGCGACAGTTGATTTATTTGAAAATATGCTTACCCACGTTCTTGTGCAGACCGAAAACATTGGATTTGCTGGCTGGAGCTCCGATAACTGCAAGACCCACGTTCCCGGCACCGACAGATCGGAAGCTGCACCTCCTGATGCTTGATTCTTTGTGCGCGCAGCCGAATCAGACAATCAGAGGAATGCCATGATGTCTTGACAAAGACGGCGACATCGACCGCGCAAAATGGCCGATTGAAACTCAGAAAAGCGCCGAGGAATGACATAGCTAGGGAACTCATTGCTATTCCACGATTCTTTTCAACCAAACACAGTAGAATTCAGCGGAATCCGACAAATAGCGTCGTTCCACCCCTAATCGCCTAACTTCAGTAGCCGCCATAGTTTGCTGTAGATTGGTTTTGAGGGAATACTTTTGATCAAGGGCTGCCGACACAAAATTGAGGCGGAGATGGAGATATTAAAAAAACTCTAGTTCGATTGTCTACAGAATATGGAAAAGCAAATTGGGCACAAATTTCATACGGGCTCAATCAGGCCCAAATTATTGCTATTTTATAATGAAATAAGAACACATCTCTAAGGTATGGGCTGGAAACCAAAATCAGTTATTCTCCAATTAAAACTTTGGCCTTCAGTTCTTGTGGATGCATTCATTTCAGCAACATTTGATCTATAAAAACTTAAAAGTGCGGCCAATTTCAGTCTCAGCATCAAGCTGTTCCAATCTTCCTGGAATCGTTTGAAAGTTCATTGCTGAGGCAGGTATGTTTGTACGGTTCTTAATATTGGGCCTTATTTTGATTGGGCTGAATGTTAAGAAAGGTATGACAATGCCATACACAACTAAGCGGGCCTGATCAATTTTCCCAATTGATTGGGTTTCACAATAACACAGCTGAGACCAAATAAAGTCCAAAAAGTATTCACAATATAGAAAATAAAGTTGGGAAGTATACAACCAAATCCACCTTGACACTGGTTCACTATCCAAAACAAATCCAACTCAATGAAACTGAAATTATAACCAAGAGAAAATCAACAACGACTCACCAAACCACTGAAATGAGCAATAGTAAACATCTCAAACTAACTGTTCAGTGAAATAAAGCATGATTATCAAGAAAAAGGGCAGAAAAGATGACTATTTACAATAGGACTGGAACTAATTTCTTGTTGTTCTTTCAGCCACTGAAGATTTTCACAACTTCAAAGAGCACTCCTCCAGGTTTATAAAAGTGAGGCACAGCTTTCACCAGGAACTAAAACATCTTGCCCCTAAAGGACTTCAGGTTCACCTCGAAACTTGACCTCTCAAACTGAGCTGCACTCTCAAAAATTGAGTCTGTGATTGACCAAAAGACATTGCTTTTGAAGATTAAAGCACAACCATCATTGCCATCTTTCACCAGGAGCTGAACTATAAAAGCTTCTTGTCGATCAGACCAATAAGCATTCACTTCAATGACCTCTGCTTGTATTTTGAAAGTCAGTCCCTGGAAAAAATTGAAAAATGGAGGCAGCGCATAAAATTAACAAAATTTCTTCACATAATCCGAAATGATCATTAGTAAATAAGGGGGGGAAATGGTTTGCCTATACCTTAATGGGACCAGCAGCATTCAAAGCTTCCATCGATTTGACAGAACTTGGTACGATCAGACTCTGGCAGATTTCACCATCACTGCGAGGAACACCACTACTGCTACTGCTGCAAATTCAGTCCAATATGAAAATCAATGAAGTTCTATAATCATGCTAAAGGAAACTAAATATAAAAAAGTCATAAAGAGATGTAGCATACAAATTGAGCAAAGCATGGCCAGGAGGATAATGCAGATTGCAGTGCATCTTAGAGGCACATGAGGAGGAAAAAAAGTACTCTCCTGCAAGTAAAGAACATTTGAATTTGAAAACAGGGTTGACCCCATTTTGGCAATGATTAGTAAACTGAAAGTCAACTAACCATGGTACTTATGCACATAAACAGAAGTGACTGTGAGCACTGTCCCAATTTCAGATTCCGTGGAAAGGAAATTGTCAAGCTGGTCGACCAATGAGTCCCACAGAATCACCTTAATAATTTCACCACTACCGCAAAAAAATAACACTCAACGATCAATAGTTTTTAGTTGACAATAGAAAATCAAGTGGTTCTGAAAATTAGACCGAAATCGTACTCAATTAAGCGAATTTGGACATTCTTCTTTTTGATAGAAGCCATCTCATCAGTTAGGATTTCTGTAGCCTCACATTGCACCATTTTTCCAGCTAAATCTGTACCAAACAAAAGTAAATTATTAATGGAATCAAATGTAGAAAACATACTTAAACAATAATGAGATCAAGCGACGGGAAATTAGAAACCAAATAAGAAGTCTTGGTCATCAAATGCATCCTTAAAACCGCCTGTTTCCAGAAAACGAAAGCTGAACTTAGGAATGTCAGCACAATCCTCCAATTCTTCACAGACCGAATCTGGGAGGAGCACAATCCGAAACTTCGGTGCAGTTACACGGAAGCTAGTAGTGTTCCTCTGAACCAAGAACTGACCAAAATAGTACACGCTGCCTTCCCTAATGAGTGGAGCAAACCTTGGGATCAAGATCTTATGAATAACAATTTCCATTTGATATCCCTGCATCAATTAAAACAAAATGTGCATTCAATGGCAGCATCATTTGAAGAAGAAGGACAAATAAAGGTGGAAGGCCAGCACGTACCGAAGCATCAACAATAATCATGTTAACGAAAACATCTTCTTTGGTGCCTCGTTTCTTCACATTCCACTTTCGCAGAACTCTAACATGAACTCCACAGTCAACATCTTCAACACCCAAATCAACCAATGCACGCAGAGACATGACTTTGAGGAAGTGTTATCTTAAAAGGAATGCCAAGCTTTTACTCTGAGGAACAATGGAGCAACGTGTAAATGAGCAAATAAATTCACCACAAGTCTGCTTTTATACATGAAAGGTAATGAGGTTCATTGAAGCTTAAAAATAGGGGTTAGTGGGGCTTAACTGCCAACCACGCCTCCATTACACCTAGAAAATGGACTCCTAGCTTTCTAATTTCTACACATGCCCACCCCATGAAAATAATGACGTGGATATTTACTAAAAAAAGCTACACGCTCACAATTAGAATGTGGACATCAGAAATGGTTATTCTAACGTTGGGACCAAGTCCATTTTTTTACCATGATAACATCACATTAAATTATAAAATCTCATAAACTAATATTAATGTTAACCTGAACCATTTTTTACGTATTTTAACCCTCCATCAGTTTTTCAAAGATAAGGTTCGGACCATGGTTGTCATGCCGGTGGTACCACCCGATTGAACCTGGTTCAACTTGTGTCGGTCATGAAACCGGCATGACACTATCAGTATGACTACTATGATCGACTATGCATACTAAGTAAAAGGACATCATTTGAATGAAGTTAATGAATACAAAAATTAATTTATTAATCATTTTATGAATGTAATAGGTAAAAGTTGATGATATTACTTGAATTTTAACTAAATTGTACACAAATATGTTGAAATACATAGGATCTTAATTGTTTTGACATTTTTTTTAAACCGGCATGAACCGGCACAAACTGGTAAAACCACCGATCGTACCAGTCCACTTGTCAAACGGGCACAACGGTATAAACCGGTTTGGAAACCTTGGTTCGGACAACCCAACTAATAATCAAGCTGTAACAAAACAACAAAAAAGAAGTAAGAACTGAAAAAAAACCTACTGGTACACAGAAACAAAGGCGTACTAATTGAATCTCAGATATGGCCTTCTTTTCCCTCTATTGGCGACCATCAGTAGGTTCTGCCTATATGGGGATGAGGAGCCTACCAAAGGTAGTTTTGGTTTTCATTTGATTCTTTTACCACTGCAGCAGTGTGATTAGGTCCATTCTGCTTTGTTAGCCGTCTTGTAAGACCAACACTACTATAATTGATGGTTTTATGAGGTTATAGTACTCTTTGATGGTATTTGAGTTCATTTTCTCCATGAAATAGAATATCATAAGAAAAATTTTAGTTAAGCTGAACCATTAGCCGCAGATTATGGTTCTTAATTCTTTCTTTGTTCTTCAAATAGAATAAAATAAATTCGCGTGCAGGTTCAGTTTTGACACCAAATTTGAAGAACCTAATGGCTGATTGTTCTTTAATTATTTTACAATCTATATCCAAACCCAATGTCAACCTCGGACAATGTCTCCTGTCAAAGATAAAGGTCAAATTTAATTCCTAGAATACTGGGATTTTACAACTCTTCTTTCAAAGGTATGTCTAAGGGAATATTTATTATGTAAGTAAGAGAAAGAAACATAATTCAAACACTACCACTTAATCTGCATACGAAATTGAAAATCAAAATAAGAAAAGTATTCTATTACTAATAATTGAGTTATGAAGTCATGATTGGAAAACTCTTGATTCGAAATTCACCTTTTTGAGTTGCGTAGAGTCTTTTTTCAGTAAACAAATAATTATAAACATGTTGCAGATTATACATAGAAAATAAATGACCATCAACATCCAAATAATAACAAAGCAAAACTGTACCATCTCAACAAAATTATCCAGTAATAATACAATCTAATAATAGTTGAAAAATCAATCAAAAATCTCTCGATAAACAATGTTATGCATACTCTTCACTTCAGCTCCATCAGCATCACAGCTCAAAATCTTGATTCCGCGTTTTGTTGTAACACGGGACAATGCAACATATAATTGACCATGCGAGAAGACTTGCTTTTGAAGACATACCCCCACATTCTGTAATGTTTGACCCTGGCTCTTATTTATCGTCATTGCAAAGCACAAAGCAATGGGGTATTGTCTGCGGACGAATGTGAAATTCAGACTTTTATATTGGTGGGTTAAAGTCATTCTTGGCAAAAAAAAACCTGTCACCAGTCTGTGACCCCGAAATAATCTCTAGTTCGATGAACCATGTCCCCAATGTCTTCACAATCAGTCTAGTCCCATTACATAATCCACGACTTTGGTCAATGTTCCTTAATAGAATAACTGGACATCCCAACTTAAGCTTCAACTCATGTTCAGGAAAATTTCCAATCTTCAATGAGTTTAAAAATTCAGTCGAGTAATCAGAATCAATGACATTTTGGTTCCCAGGATCCATATCAATAGAATCAGAACTAAAGTATGTCATGACTTCACCTGGATATTGCTCAATGACATAATGGTTTAATGCAGAAACCATGTCATGATGAGGGGCTAAGATAGCACGACCATCAAAGTAACTTGCCTCACAATAATGCGTTGCTAACCCTCCGTAGACCTCAGCAACAATGTCTGAAATGTGATCAACCTTGCGTTCAACAGATAGTTCCTTAGGAATAGCAATGATTGACTCACCAAAAACATTTGACCCTTCGCCATCACCTATGGCAAGGATCCATTTGCTAAACTCTGCAATCTCCCGACCCTCATCAGCTGAGCAACCATCTCGCACCAAACGCATATTCTTCTTTAACCTCAATACTCTGAAATAATGCCACAGTTTTGATTTCTTGATAGAAGAATTAACAACATCAGAGCGTGTACCTTTGACTATTACCGGCAATGTTTGACGAAAATCTCCCCCAAGAACAACAGTCATTCCACCAAAAGGCAAATTTTCAGAATTAGGATATTTTACACGTAAAATATCCCTTAGAGTTCTGTCCACAGCCTCAACGCAGTGTTTATGGGACATGGGAGCTTCATCCCAAATAATTAAAGAACACCTCTGAAGTAATTCAGCCAGATCACTACCTTGTTCAATATGACATGTTGACTTGGAGTGAATATCCACTGGGATGTTGAATCTTGAATGAGCTGTTCTTCCACCTGACATTAACAATGCAGCAATACCTGATGAGGCAACACATAGCACAATCTTACCCTCTGATCGTAACTTCAAACAAATTACTTTCCATAAAAATGTTTTGCCGGTGCCACAAAACCCATCAACAAAGAAGCAACGTCCCTTATCACCATATACTGAATCCAAAATCTCATCATAGGCTTCCTTTTGTTCAATATTGAGTTGAGAACACATGACACCAAATTGAGACTGCAACTCAACACAATTGTAATTCAACTCCTCTGCAAGCAATCGATTTGAAGTGTTAGCCATAGATCCAATTGAAGGGGTTGGCAATCTAGGAAAGTCAGCAATGGACTTCCAATGACTTTGCAACAACTTCTCAATCTTCATTAAGCATAAATCCTGTAGTTCATCATCACTAAGCTGCAGATTAGGCATCTTCAATTCTTTTCGACGATGATAAAGAATATCATCACTTAGCAACGTCCAATTTTTATCCCAAAAAGATTTGCAATCTGATACTGGACAATTAATAAGAATAGTCACAAAAAGCTCTCGAAGCTTATGTCCAGATGCCCAAGTCGATACCTCATTAATACAATCATTCCACTCATTGTCTTCTGCCAGTAATCCACGGGCATAACATGCTTCTTGAAAAGATTTGTGAAGAACACCATTAACCGTTCTTATGTCCTCAAAAGAAGTACAACCCTTAACAACATGAAGCAGCATACGCAAGTAGAATCTTTCCTTTTTTGATGGGTGGGAATAGTACAATCTTCCAATGCACATCCTAGATTTTCAGCGCTGCCATATTTTGCCTTGTTTATTCCAGACAAAGCATTGAGGGAATTCAGCATACGTGTAATTGCATGCCTCTTCAGAGAGCTTATTGATTTCCATCCATGCCAACAACATTGATAGAGAAGAACCCTCATTTTCGATAACATCTTCCATAGACGAATTATCCTTAGAGACAACAATATTCTCACCGGGAAGATGAAATGGCATTCGGACAACTGAAGGATAGTGATTATAGACATCAAATTTGAAAATCCTCCAACATGCCTCTCCAGATGTAATATATCGACAGTCCATAAAAGCTTTAATCTCATCAACGCACACTGAATTAGATGAACTTCGAGACACATCATGGGTAGTACTGGGCAGGTCACTATCGACCAAAGTCCCAGCAGCACGATCAGCAGGTTTATTAATATATTTGAACAAATATTTGATAGCCCTGTCAACGGCAAATGCATAAGAATTCACTTTCTATTCGTAGGTACACATTAAATAAATATTCAAAAAAAAAAATACACAGTAATATTCAAAAGGATATAAAGGAATATCTCATATTTCTTTGCCGTAAAAGTAGAATACAAAGGCAATAAAGAATACATCAATTCTCTCAAAACTTAAAATTCAATACCAAGTACCTTTCTAATATATTTTGGCATCTGTGTCCATAGAAGCACTATAATCATATATTACTACTCTATAAATAGTAGAATATAAATAGCACTACTTTATGTTCCAAGTTTAATAAAGTCAGCAAATTTAAAAGTAGAATATAATTAGCACTCCTCTATGTTCCAAATTTAATATAGTCGAACAAAAAAAATTTAGGTTTTTTTTTTAAAATTTATTGGGAGATTGACACATGCCAATTATTGTATTTTATTGACATATATAGTACATAACCTTAAAGTCAACTATCACGACATCGAGAAGAATACATACCTTGATTTGTTGCAGAACTCCACATTAATATGATATTGAAACCGCAATAACAAATATCGATTATATGGCACGACATTCCGGTTGTCTAAGGGGGTGCCATTAACCTCAAAAGTCACACCAGTATCACGACGTCGGTATTTAGCAAATCCATGCTCATCGATAACTGTTTGACTGCAATATTTCTTTGGAAAGTGCTTCATACACAAACCATCCACCATACATGGGGAATTTCTATTTGGCACTCCACATGGTCCA